ATTTTTAAAATAGGCCTAAAATCTCGTTTTGAGAGGAGGGGACACCCCCTCCCACACCAGCTCTCGGCCCTCAGATAACGCTGCACGCTATAGTTAAACCCATAAATACTTAGCCCCACAGTCGGACACCCCCAATAAATGATATCCTAGATCCGCCATGTTCAGAGGACACCCATATTAAGGGGACACTTTTTTTATCCCGAAGGTGCTATAAGGGTTCTACTGTATTCCAGGTGTTTGCTTTCCTTTATATTGCTCTGGCTACTTTTTGTTAATGAGGTTTTGGTTACGAAATTAACGTGTATTATTTGAAACTTGTTGTTTAATATTACACATTAGCCCTTGAAATTATTGCAAATATATTAAACATTAGAAGAAAACCAAACACATGTAAAAAATTTCATACAGCAGACTTTCATTTCTAAAGCACAGGATTCTGGCATAAGCAGATTTTCTGAAAACCCAATCCAATCCCATTGCCGCATTTTCACGCTAGCACCCTCCCTCTACCAGTTGGTGCTCCCTCGAAAATCCTGGTTGCGCTCTTGAAAAAGTAAATCTACTCTACGAGTGTTTGACATGTGCGCTTTTGGCGTTCCATAGTACCGCAAGCAACCAAAAACAGCGAAACCGCGTCCATGGGAACGTAATTAAAAGGTAGACTGAAAACCTCTATATTATATAATAACACGTTTATGACATCTATTATTTCACATATAATGTATATTTAATAAATACCTAAGCTAGAATCTGGTCATTTTTTTGTGTTCCTTGGCTAATTATGGTCTAACCTAGCCTCCTAGGCCTACTCTGTGGGCCCTAGGCTAGGCCTAAGCTAGGCCCTTTCCTATATAGGCCTAGGCCTAGATAGGTTAGCCTAGCCTAGACCAGAGCCATATAATATGAATGAGTTGCGACATTCCGCTCCTTCCTTTCTTGTCAAAAAAAGTTATGTTTTGCTCTTTACTTTAGGCCTACACAATATCAGTTTATGTATTGCGGCCAACTGACTAGGCCTAGGCCTATACTATTTTAATATTTTAATTTATAAGTAATAATAATCAAAATAATAACATATGATTTGTATAGGGCTCGCTCACATTCAAATTTAAAGAGCAATAATCTAGATACCCTATATATGGATCATTGAAATCGGTAAAGCCGACCAAAGTCTGCAGTAAAAGTAATGATACCGGCTGTTCATCATTGGATTGTCAACACTGACACTGATTTTGATAAAGCAGACAGGAAAAAACAATACAGTAACAAGACCAATGAATTAAGGAGACAAAGGACTGCTCTTTACTTTTTAAGCATTTTCTGAAGGTGATAGTTTGGTGTAGGCCTACTCTCAATTTGCATACGAATATGACTTGTCCCACTCGACTTTATGCTATTTTCCCACACAAATTAAATAACATGAACAACATAGATGTAATCAAAAATAATATAAAAGAGTAAATAATATTAATTACATTTTGATATATATACATAATTAATTAATTTTTGCTGGTCGTCATATATCATTTATTTCGCCAAAATAACAGGAGCCACTTAAGGGTCAATATGGCAGGATTGCCAATTTGAAGAATGCTTGCCATCGAGGGGCTCTTAGTGTATCGACAAGGATTAAAGAACTGCTTAAAAATAGTAAATTATTACAGTATTTGAAATTGGATATAAAGTAGTGAAATCATAAAAAAAATCTATAAATATAGTTACATGAAATTCTACTGCTAAAAAGATTAAATGAAATTAAACTATAGGAGGCCGCTAATTGTATATACAATATTATACACAGGAAGGCACATTGCGTTAAACACAGAACGCTTACCGCTTTAGACACAAAAAACATGGCTTCTAAATTCTCAATGTTGCAACTCTTTCTATGGCTCTGGACCGCTTTGAAATTGAAGCTTACATTTTGGATTCTTTACATATCAACGTATTTTTAGAATTTTTTTTTAGGAAAATCCAAGGGTGGGGTCACATGGGCATGGTGGTTGATTTGAGCTGGAATGACCCAATGGTAATACTGCTTGCATGCTTACACTGTACAGAGCATTTACAGACATAAAGACTTAACAATTGACATAAATTGCTGTACATACCAGCTGTATATTTTCCATTATAGATTTGGACAGCAGTCAGCAGTATGGGAGAGCTAGCTGAGAGGCAGGCAGTTCTAGAGGCAATGTTTCAGCAATATGACACTGAAAACTCAGGGGAACTGACTCCTAACCAGCTACAAGCGTTGCACTCAAGCATACGGTTTGGTGGGATCAGTCTACCACAGGTGAATTTTCTTGTTCTATTTTTTTATTTAAATTTTTTTTTAAATGTTTAAAGCCCTGTCCAGTCTGTCAAATTTTATTTGACAAAAACATGTTACATGCCTAATATGGTCATGATGACATCACATCCTGACCATATATAGCGCAAATGGGCAAAGTGCGACCCGACAGTGATTTTTTTCTGTGGCCCTCGAAAATGAATTGAAAACCCTGTGTGCGGCCCGCCAACCACCTTTGGCTATAAAACACCTTGTTTTTTTACAGCCGAACACTGAGCAGATCTGTAAAAAGTAATATTAAAACTGCATGTAAGTGGTTTAAAGTGTACTGGAAACATCAAAGCTTGGGTGTTAAATCCAATGTTCACTTTGGCTCTCTGACCTATTTTTATGCATACCCCTCATATATAGGCACATCATAACTATATAGGCCTACATACAATACAACACAATACACTGTAAATGAATTATTTACCTACTGTACTTGGTAAAATCAAAAAGGAAATTCAGGTGATACTGTACTCCTACATTAGGACCATATTCACAACAGGAGACTAACTTTCATTCAGGAGTAATCAGGGCGGATTGCTATATGCGGTCTTCTATAGACAGTCTTAACACTATCCAGCTATAATTGTGACGTCACTCTGGTCTATGATTATACTGTAGACCATCGCTATACAATGATTTAACCAATTAGCCCATGGCGTCATTGAACAGTGTTATCTGTTGCCATGCTATACGATGAAGATGAAGATAAGCCGTCCTAAATATAAAGCCTTCTCAGAGGAGGCTTAAGTGGCCTTTACATCGAGTAGATTTAGGTTGACATATACCATGTGGTTCCAACTTTAAGTCGACTTTGGGAAGTTCTGGTGTCTCTGCTCTCTCCTGTTATTACAACAGTTAATGTAGACGGCATTGGAATGTGTGCGCTCTTTGTAAAAGGTGGTTGCTCCAAGTAGAGCGATTTTGCGTCAGTTCTTCCCAGGATAATAATGGAATGTCAAAAGAAGTTAGATCACGCTTTAGGACATCCTTTAATCATGGCGTTACAGGTACTAGACCTGGGCCTAGATTGCCAAAGACCAAGAATCAAATGGCGAATATTCCGCAAACTATGTTACCATTGAATGCTTGTTGCATTTCATTACTCATCGCGACCTAAGCGAAGACCGTTTTTATAACAATGGTCTTAGCGGAGTGACTCTAGTAAACCGTGTAAGTGATAAAGCCAGCTTTATTCGGGGAGTTAAGACTACTACTTAAGACCGTTTTATAGCAATCTGTTCCAGGATTTGAATTAAACCAAGACTATTTAAGATGGGTATTGCCTTTGTTAAAATTAAATAGGAAATTAACATAATTAAATTAAAACAGAAAAAAGTAAAATCAGAAAATGTTTATAAAATAATGAATTAAATCAAGATTACTGGTATCTGAAAACAGTATTCTTGTGGACTATAGTTAACCTAGCTTTAGCCGCTGGAGAACAAAAACATTGATTAGTCAGCCATAGTGACTAATTAGTTGGCCACAGAGCAGCACTTATAAAAAATAGGGAAAGCAGTACTATACCCATTTAAACCCAGAACCCCCTCCATGATTAATGTCAGGGGGCCAAGCTGTCATATTTTTGTAATTTCCCATTTGGATATGTTTTTCATATATGTTGCATAATACTCAAAAGATGAATCACATGATTGACTAGGTATTATGAGCCTTAATCAATGAATGTTTAGATACTGTATATAAATAGTGATTGGAAAAATTTTCATCCTGCCTTCATCAGCAGGAATGTGGTAATAATAATTAATATATTTGAGGGACCTGAATTACATATAATAATGTGCACAGGTGAAGGCTGCCATGTGTTACACGTGTATGTGCGATGATGTTGCCTGTGAACAGGATGAACTATTTGATGTTCTTCAAGAGATGGATAGACGCTATTTCTTAGTGCAAGATTTCCGTTGGGAATTCTCACTTCTTGATGCTCACCAATCTGACTTTATCACCGAGGATCAAGGAAGGTAAGGGAATCAATATATTGTAAAAGCTACTAGCCGAAAAGCTATTGAACTACTTTAACAGTTTATATTCTTTGTTTCTATGCTAATTAAACTTCAATCCTGTAGCCAGGAGAATTCAAGTGGTTCGAAAGAGGTCCCCCTTTTTCCAGAAATCCCCTTTTAAATTAATTGGTAAAGCCGGTTTTGCACTAGGCGTCGGTTCATACGCATGCGTTTTCACATTTCTATCGGATTTTTGCGAAGCGAAAAAATGTGCAACCAATCAGAGCTCAGGAAGCTAACCAACGCTTTGATTCGCACAAATAAATTCGTCTAGTGGAAAACCAGCTTAAAGAGTATGGACATTTCTTAAATAAATTCCAAACATTTGAAATTTATATTTGAAGTATATTTATTAAAAAAATTCCACATCAAAAATATACATAGCAGCGACTAAGGCTGAATTGCGTATGAATTAACAAGAATAAAATCCATATAAAATACAATTTGGCAGTTTTTAATGTATTGGTGTGCTATTTACAGACACCTGATTTTACTTTACTTTATGTTTAGCATCCATTCAACAAATACAAATCAGATAAAATAAATAATGGCATACAAAATATAGAGAAAAATTGCCCGTTTAAACGGAGATTGGATGCATGGGCGATTCATAAAATCATTAATTGTTAATTTTTTTGAAATGGGGTCTGAAGTATAACTTAAGAGTTAATATGTACTATAAAAAAGATGGTACAATATTTATGCAGTATAATATTATGATAAAGATATTTAAATCATCATCATTTTAGAGTCCATTATTCCATGCAAGCATGGATTAAACCCACACTTCCCAAACTATGGGTCGCAACCCAAAAATGAGTCGCCAAATTTTTGCAAAAAAACGTTTGCAAAAAATTTGAATTTATTGTCTCATTTTCAGACAGTTAGTCAGGTTTCCTGATGATGACATAATTAATGTCGAAATATTGAATCCCAACACGATGGCGTGTATTTCAATACTTGAAGTATGTATTATACTTTCTTAGTCAGGTCGGACTTCTTATTTTAGGGGAATTCTTATTTTATATGCCCACAATATTTTTAAATTCATAGGACTATTATTATTTTTCCGTTGCCATGTACCACTATATAATTGTGTAAATCTAAGCTTTCAACTCATTAAACAAAATTTATAGAAATAAACTTAAAAAATAGAAAATTACTGTAGGGTGACATAAAAATAACATTATCTAAATGAATTTCAAAAGTGTAACTATTGCAAATGCAAACAATAGTAAACCAAAAAGCCCCTGTCATGCATTTTGGTTGGTAGGACAGTAGCCTATCCTGGTGGGGGCTGAGGTGGATGGTAGCTTTCATAAATTTTAAGTGTCCGTGTGCCATTTTCAGGGCATCTATGAACTCTCATATTTTTCAAATATCTACTTGTCTGAGCCCCAAAACCATGGTAGGGCTAAGGTAGATAGATTTTGTACTATTCAAGTGCTATTTTCGGGTACCTAGAAGTCTCAAATTCTTAAAATTTTTAAACCATGATGGGGCTCAGGTGGATATGGTAGTTTTTGGAATTGCAAGTATTTAAGTGCCGTTTTCAGGAACCTATTTAATTAGTTTAGGTTTTTTTTACTCATTTTTGTCAAAAATAAAAAGAATTAAAAAATAAAAAGGTAATTTAAGTTCCATTTTCAGGCATCCAGAGGTATAAAATATTGGAAAGTTTGCTCACGTCACCGCCAACCAAGGTGACGCAGATGTGGTCGGGACGTAGCTATGGTGGGTGGTGCCACCCATCCTTGAAGTTTTCCACCCAGTCTAAAGCTAATTTCATGGCCCTCCACCCACCCTTATTAACCAACTTTTCCATCCTAAAAATCCACTCTTATTATTTAGAGTTTACCAATGTTATCACCCACCCACCCTTAAAATGTCTATCACCAGCCCTTAGTTTTCTGCAGCTACAACCCTGCGTGGTATGGACTCTCATTTCATTGGCGCCTTCCCCCCCCTCCCCCATTCACTAAATCCTTGATAAGCCACTGGTAACCACAGGGTTAAAATTTAGGTTTTAATTCATCAATTATATAATTCAATGGTTAAAACTATTTTCTGCAAAAAAAATTGATTATAATTTCATTTAAAATATTAAAAGTTGTCTCATTTTCTGGTAGAGTGTTAAAGGTTCCCACCTCCCCACCCTCCAATGAAGAAATATAATGAAAAAAAAAAGAAAAATTGTACTCAAATTCAATCCGAGAGTACTATTTCCCACCATCTATGGTTGCCATAATCATAAAATTTCTTACTGCAGCTCTAACAATAACATGGTTGGACCCCTTATCTGTGAAAATTCCTCTCAGTTCAATATTAATGAAGGTGGGTGTAGATCAAGAAGAAAAACTCAAGACAGAGATGAATGAGAAACTAAAACAAAAGGAGGAAGAGGGTAAGTGTTGTACAGACAGAATGCAATTTTTAAATTTTATTTGCCAAATACCTGGCATTTTTTCCACAGAGGAAAGAGTTCACTGAACCAGATCTTAAAAAAGAAAGTAGTATTTAATGACAGACTTGTGGAAGTGTTTTTTTTTTTCACCTTTACCCTACTCCATTCCTATATTATGTGTTCATTTTTGGTTAAAATAAGTCAAAATTGATGACCATACACCAAAAAAACAACACCAAACAAAACTATTTAATTGATTCTCACACAAACTATTATTTAGGTAATGTTAATTTGTGTTCATGAAGTTATTATCATTAATATTGATTTATTAATTATGTTTGAATTTATCATTAACATGTCATGATTTTCATTAAAATTATTATTTATTTATTTGTTGGTTTTTTTTTTTTTGGTTTTTTTTTCTACACTAAATTGTAATATCGATTGTTCTATCACCACAGCAGAGGGTTAGTAGCATGTTTTGTCAATTTTTATGTTCAACATAATTAAGAACCAGTTTTAATATGGATTTGTTTTCTGCCAGGAACGACTTTAAATTAAAGTGTTACATGGTAAGTACTGTGGGTCATATAATGCAATGTATTCTTGTGTTCATGTAATATTTCTTGATCTAAAGAAAGCTTTTGATACAGTTGATCATGAATGCTAGTTGATAACTCAAATCTTATGGAATAAACAATGCCGAATTAATTGGTTATACCGTATTGTACCTAAGTAATAGATCACAAGTTGTACATAGTAACTCGACTGTACTCAATCAGATCTTATGGATGTAAATATTGGAATATCATAGGAACAATATTGGGCCCACTACTGTTTATAATACATGTGAAATCTCTACCAGATGCCTTGTAAATGTCATGGATGACACCACTATTATTCATAACTCTTCTGACCCAATCACTCTTCAGTATGATTTTGCTTGTTATTTACTTGTTATTTAGATAAAATAGCTAATTGGTTTAATGATAATAAACTAATATTAAACATCAGAAAGACCAAACTGATGGTATTTGGTACTAGCCATAAGTCTCCCAAAATTTAAAGACATTCATATATTTTATAATGGTGAATCTATTGAACGAGTGAATTCTTTTTTTTTTTTTTAAAGTACCTTGGAATCACTTTGATCCACAACTTATTTGGAATGACCCTATTAATGTGTCAAAATGTATTGGTGTCATTCATCATGTTAAAAACTACATTCCTTTACATGCTCTCAAAATGTTAGCTAATGTCCTCCTTTTTATTATTGTTGTTGTGTCTGGTCTAATTATTCAAAACACTAATTGTCTTCAATTCCTTATGGATGACATGTAGGATTTTACTTTCAGTTGAAATGAAGAACTCTATTGATTTTATTTTAAGTTCCCTTGACTAGAGAAAACTCAATGTAAGATGGAATAAACAATTAATTCTTTTGACTTGCCCATCCATACCTACTGTAACATCAACATTTATTTTTGATCTCAATGCATTCAAAATGCACACATAGCCAAACTCATAATTATTTAATTGTACCACCTAGGAATATCTACCAAGGTGAAAGAAGTTTCTCATCAAAAGGTTTGAATCAACTTCCAAATGAAAAAAGAAATTAGCTTTAAAGAAATGACATTAGTTTCATTCCAAAATTCTATTAATTTACAAGTTTTACATTGAATTTTCTTTTGACTCTATTTTGTGTGTTGTCTTCTTTCTATTTTGATGGTTTCTTTTTAACTGTACTACTTGGAAAAACAGTAGTCAAATACTGAAAGTACCTGCAGTCAACGTCATGCACCATATTTATTGTCACTTGCACGCAAACAAACACAGTACTGTAAGACACAAAATTGAAACCAAATTCAGCAAGAATTAACTGTAATGATCACTTCATGTTTAATATAAATTATCACAATTATTTATATTTACATTTTAATTTTTTCCCAGTATTATAATGCAGTATAGTTGTAGGTGCATCATAATTAATCATAAGATATTACATTGGATTTGTATGAAATATTATTTTGTTTTCAGACTTTGGTCTGAAGCAAAATCTAAATAAGAGATAAATTTTAACGTTAGCTGTAGACCTGTCCTTGGAATTGAACCATAAAATACTCACCAAAAATCTTGAAATTTTTTATAACTAAAAGTTGTTGTATTCATATCACAGATATAACAAAAGAGTACATGTTAGCTGGATTGTCTGATCTACTTTTTTTCACCAAGAGACTGTCTATGATATTCAAAAGGATTTTTAAATATTTATAATTTTTGTGTTACTGCAAGTTGCTTTCTCTACTGTTAGTGTGAAATATTATGTGGAAGTAAAACTTTTTACACAAATTGATGTTTTGCAATTGATATGCGCCTGTCACAGACCATGTTGTCCTTAGTTTTTTGTATCCTTATAGTTAGCGAAATTTTTACACCAAAAAAGTAAGCATGTTCGGGTTGCTTATTAATAAGGAAATTGTTTAAAATTAACTGTGAAAACCAAAGAAATATTATTAAAATATAATGGTATAACTTATAGGCACTTTCAGAAAATTATGAAACTTGTTTTAAATGTTTAAGAAATTTGTACATAAAAATATCACTGCAATTTGTGTCATGTCAGGTGTGTAGTTTATATAAAATTTCAGGACACTTTATTAATTTAATAGTTTTTTTTTTTTGTTTTTTTTGTTTTTTTGTCGTTTTCTGCGCCCTTGTCACCGTCCTTGTTTTCTTTAGTTTTTATATCCATATAGATTTAACTGGTGGTAGTTAGCAAAACGTTTCACACCAAAGAAAGTGTAAAATAGGAAATTGTTTAAAATTAACTGTGAAAATGGAGGAAATTTTATCAAAATAGAATGGTTATGACATATAGGCATTAAATTCAATTCATGCTCTTTCAAAAAATTATAGAATTTATTTTAAATGTTGTACGAAGTTTGTACATAACAAAAGTAAAAAGTAAGAGAAAAAGGGTTAGTCCCAACCAACGATAGACATATAAGATAATAAAGAAAAAAACATACAATAGAAAATTGTAACTTGAAAATTGAAAACATTATACTTTCCTTTTTTTTTATCTCTTTTTGTGGACATCTTGAAAGGAAAATAACTATAAAGTAAACAATCCAAATATTCAACACATAACTTGTTTATCTTATATTAATATTACTTTAAATCCTTTTCATTTTTCTTTATTAATGTTGCATTTTTGGCTAAGAGCATGTGTAATATACTTTTAGTTTGATTACTTTATTAAAGAGATTATTTATATTTTGTAATACAAATAATTAAATCTGGTTGTGTATTGAATATAATTTTTTTTTTTCAATTGGTACATTTTTGTTGAGAAGGATATTTTTTTTTTTTACTTATTAGAGCGAGGTAAAAAAGAAGCAGAAGAAAGAGAGCGACTTGATAAGGAGAGGAGGGACAGAGAAGAAGCAGAAAGGCAAAGAGAGCTTGAAATCATTGAGGTTCAGCAAGCATTAGAAGCTCAGCGAGAATTAGAAAAAAAGGCAAAAGAACTTGAGGAACAAAAGAAACGAGAATTAGAAGAAGCTAAGGATGATGAAGAACAAGCAAAGGTACAAATGGAAAATTAATTTGGTTCAAAATGCTATATTTTTTCTTCTTTATTTAGATATAATTAGGAGACATGCAGTAGATGAAATTATGGTTTCAATAAGAATTTTGATTAATATAATTGACTAAATAATGAAATATAATGATAAATGACTGGATGAATTGATTTAATAGCTCGCAGCAGAGAGAGAAAAAATAGCAGAGGAAGAAGCAAAGAAAGCAAGGGAGGCTGCGAAGCTTGCCAAAGATGCAGCATCCAGACAAGAAGCTGAAGAGGCTGAGAAGGCAGCCAGGGAAAAAGCTAAACGTAAGCACTGGAAATCTTTTGGAACTGCCAAAGTGAATATTTTTTCATGTATTTTGTGTGTGGTTCAATTTGAGATTTTAACATGTTTAATTTACAGTTGTTAAACTTGAAAGAGAATAGTGTGCAGGTGATATTGTTTGTATGTGGGGATTTATTTCTTGTGAGTGATCACTGATTTGATTTTAAATCTTGTTTCCTATTCGTGTAACAGCACCAGACTTTATTCATTTTCAACAAAGAAGTGCATATTTATGGAAATTTCTCTATCATCAAACAGCTGTAATGTAATTATTTTTTAACCTATCAATGTAAATATTGATGAATAAGTTAATGTTTTCAACTCTTGGTTAAGCCATACATAGCCACAACCAAATTTAAATAAGGTCTCTTTTACATGCTGTGCCCAATTTACAGTTTCGTAACGTGTCAACATCGTATAACACTTTAAGGGCAATCCATTAACATTCATTTGGACCAGTAACCAAAAGGAAATCATGTTTTTATATATTTGGAGTTGGAGTGGATAACACCCAAGTTCTGCCATGGATCTGACACTATTCGACGAATATGGAATCCCGATTACATGCTTACAGAATTTAGTATGAGTAATTTCAGATACATCAGAATACTCACATCATCAAACCTACGATCCTTAAAGAAGGATTGGCTTCACCAATGAATCAAATAAATATAATTTTAACACTGGTCCTATGTACGTGTTATATTCCAAAGTGCTTTACACTTTCAACATTCCTTTGCTTGCTTGTTGGTTTAATGTGTAAATTACCTTTGACCAATTGCCCCTATACTAGAACTAATAATCATCCCGAGATAACTATAGTAAGATACGATCTCTACATTCTGCTTATATGACCATTTCTCATTTTTTTTTAACAATATCGCCTCTTCTAAAAATCATAGCTTTGGTTTTAGTAAGGTTTACCTCTAAGTCCCAACTATTACAGTATTCAGAGCATTTAACATACTGTACATTGGAACTTGAATGGTGAGTCAGACAAAATATTATATCATCCATATATTTTAAGTTAGTAATTTCTACATCATCTACTTGGATACCGCTAGTTCCTTTATCTTTAAAAAGATCATCTAAATCACTTAAATACAAACAAAAAAGAAGGAGGGAAGGTTAAAACTCTTTAAGTCATGTTTATCATTACTGTCTCTAAACCTGTGCAATGCCCGAGACTTTCTACTAAAAAGTAATTCACAATCTACGTCAAACCAAGGACTTATCCTTTTTCGATTATTTTGTCTCATAGGTAAAGCTTTGGGTAAGTTTGTGTGGTTTTTAAGTTTGTGTGATTTTTACGTTTCATTGGGTCACCTGCAGTCCACAGTATTTCACAAAATTTGTCCCCAAATTCATCTACATCCGCATCAGGGGTGGGCATTAGAATCTGTTGGAGGGCCAAAGTGAATTTTTTATTTTAACACAAGGGCCGTATCCAAATTTTGATGGTTCCAGTGTGCTTCCAAAAGCTTTTATGAACTGCTATTATACCATTTTATTCTTAGTTTTAATATTATTTTTTATAGATGATCAGTGTCAGGCTGTAAAAAACATAGTGTTTTCTAGCCAAAGATGGTTGGCAGGCCGCACACACAGGTTTTTAATTTGTTATCTCTGGCCGTAAAAAATCACTGTTGGGCCGCATGTAGCCTGCACTTTGACCACCTGTGATCTACATCATCAGTAATGTTGCTATTTAATATGTATCTAATAATTTTTGACCGTTAATTTAAACCGTTCTTCTCTGTTTTTATTCCACTAAACTTACAGTACGAACTATGATGTTACTACCATGTTTTTGTTTCCCTCTCTTCTACCGATTACAAGTTTTGCTATTGTTAACATTAATTTTTAGGCTAATAGGCATCCTGAGTGGATTTCCTGTACGATTAAAATCAAAACTTTACTGGTCTACAGGAGCTCGTGTTTCGTACAGGTCATTCCATTCATAGAAAAAGCCTTTAATGGTGAAAGCGTACTTGTCATTAGCCATAGTAGCCTAGGTCAATACTGTACATATTACCGGCTGTATAAAATCAGGGCTTGCCCTAACTTTTTTTGGTAACTAGCCCACTGGGCTAGTTTACTAGAGATTTTACTAGCCCACAGGATATTTTAGTAGCCCACAGACAGGAAAAATTTTTGTTTCAAAATATTTATTAGCGACAATTAAATTTGAAGGTTGATTTGCAATTTCATAATTTCTGTAGCATTGCTGTTTGAGCTACCCTCTCAAAATATTGTTGAATAAATAAATAAAAAAATCACCATGCTGCAAAATCGACTCTGGTTATAAAAGGGACAGATGAGCATGTTTTACATCTCCCTGGTTATAACTTTGGCTTTCTAATATTTAACAAAGGGCCCAGAAATCAATCAAACCAATGCATCTGTTAAATCTTTAGGTCTCAAGTCACTCACCCCCCAATGGCAATAAATCTTGCTTAGGCTACCTTGGCTAGGCTACCTAGGCCTAGGCAAGACCTAGGGCCTAGCCTACCTATAGCATTGAAGTACTTATTATTAAAAGTTGAACATTTAAAAAACATCATTATGAGAAAACAATATGAATATAAGGTAGTACATTAAATTAAATGTTCTAACTACCTA